CATTCCTCCTGCGCCTCCCCCGGTCTTTGCAATCGGGGATGGGATTTGGTCGCCGGGCGACGACATTGTCGAACAAGCCGATCACTTCGTGAGCTCGACAACGAAGTGACAGCATTTTTGTTTTGCATGTGTTTTTTCTTTGGCGATTACCATATTGGTGGTCGAGTAGATCATGTTGTGCGGGGTCGAGAACCCTCACTCCGCGCAAGGGGGATGATCGCACCACGTTGTGTTAAAATGGTCAAGCACCCTCGAGGCAGTTACACAGTGCTTACAACTGTCTCTGGAAGTGAAAGCACCAGAAAATAAATTAAGTCATACGCAGCTGTCATCCGTACGCAAGGAAGTAAGCACAAGATGCCGAAAACCCTTAGCAGGATGCAGCGCACCCTTCATGCGACTCGCCGAATATCTCACGGCGCTTCGCGCTTGGTGATGTGAGAGCCTGGTCCGGTGAGAACCCGGCGTGCTCCGTCCCGGCTTTGTAGGGATGCGAGGTCAATGGTCTAACGACTACGGCATGCACGGTTAAGAGTACACCCCCCTCCCCGCCCGACCTCCCGGATTCACTCGGGTATTCACTTTCCACCTCACCGAGCTTGATAGGCTTCGACTTGTTGAACGTCATCAGCGCGAACATCACTCTCGCCGTGCTCTTCACCATCTGCTCGTCGTATGATCGCCATGCGCCAGGGTCCACAAGCTCGCTCCAGCACTTGTTCAACACGTCCTCCAGCTCCCTGCCGAGAGTAGCATATAGTTTTTTCAATCATATTCGACGGTTGATTTTTTTTTATCACAGAGGGCGCACTTATATGTCGGCAAACACAAAACCGTCGAACCGCAGCATCGGCGGACCAACATAGAGGGGGGGTTCGCACCTAGAGCGGTGTTGCAAGTGTTGGGGCTCGATATTGCAGTTACTACGTAGTTTGGGCCGAGGGGCCGCACGACATACGTTTTCCTTCCCCAATCAGCGTTGCACAACCGGTCACGCAAGCTAAATGTATTTTTCGGCAGGTGTCGATCTGGGTGCTTCGCACTTCGACGACGACACATACTGTATTCCAAAGCAGCTGCCCTCGGGTCAGAGAGGTTCGTTTTCACTCAGGCCATTCTCAGCAGTATCTTAGGCCATCCTTCTGAAGTGCGGAGCAGGCAACACATTCGAGGGAAAAAACAACATACCCGACTTGGGGCATACCTGATGTGGTGTTTGCAGTCGTACTGAGAATGAGCCTTGTTGGGCTTGCCGGTGGCCGGGGCCAAGTGGAAGAAACGGCCGGAGAACAGGACAAACAGGTCTCGAGGCATGCAGGCCCGGACCAGGGGGTAGTTGTCAAGGAGTTCCACCCCCCAGTGGTCGGTGATCCGCCGCTTCCGGGTGATTCCCGCGGTGATGAGGATACCCATCCCGCCGTACAGGTGCCTGCGCTCGAAGGCGTACGCTCGAGATCCATCCGCCAGGTCCTTGCACCCTCTGAAATCCCCGCGTCACCTTCTTCGCCCGATGTCGAGGTTCCTGGTGTTCCAGGGGCGGGTCAGACTCATCGGCGCAGAAGTTGACGTACCCGTTCGTCTGATAAGAGGGCGGGAAGGGGCGGGATATAAAATAAAGGCGTGAAGGGGCGGGACACGAGAGAGATTTCTAAAAAACAACTTGGCACAACAAACGAGTGAGCTCGCCTGGCGCAAGGGTGCCGAAAAATCTTCAAGATAGTTGGTGGTGCGCACCGTCGAAGTTGCTTGGAATACACAGCCCCTGGTTTCAGTTGGCCATGAAGGCATACATGGCTCGTACGAGTTCTGTGTAGTACACAAGGTGTTATTCAGAATATCGTTGATGGTGGTAGTTGGTTTTGGCGTCAAGCACGACCCTGGAACTACTTTCACGCTATGTCGCTGCCCTCCTGTCGCCTGATGCATGTGTTCATTTGTCGACTCTGATACATGCTGGATCCTAGCTCCATCGCGTTGCACTAATGCCCCCCCCTACCCCCCGGCCGTCCAAGCACGCCTGCACGTCTGAACATGTAACGATAAACACATGACCNCGTTTTCCTCACCTCCCTCAGGACGACGTCCTGCTCCTCCGTCGGGAAAGTCTTCTCAAAGAACATGAAGGGGTGACCCCCACCCTTCCCGTTGACGAAAGAACGCAAAACAGCTAGCCCTTGTTTGTCGACCTTCGGTAGACTCGCCTTCAGCTGGTCCGATACGCTGAATTTGTCGCCGCCGGGGTGTTTGTGCCGCCTCTTGTACGGATCGGATGACTCGTCACGGGGTAGTCCCTCGAGCACCCACCCTTTCGGATCGTCCGGGATTGGAGGGGGGGGTGGTTCAACAGCCTGGGAAAGACCAACAACAAACACCAGGTATAATTAGGGGGCAACCCAATAATACACTTGAAATTGAAATAGGCTCACACAATAGTACCTAACAACACAGGGCAAAATGGTACAAACTTATCGCAGCATCGCCTACGGCAATGAGGGACACACGCATTTGGCATTAGTCATGCGTCTACAGCAGTAGTGCGGTCGATGCTGCTCAAACAGGAAGAATACAAAAATAACATGTGTACACTGGTGTAGGTTATCGAAGGAAATGAAAGCGCACCGGTGTGTAGTTCATGGTGGTTTATTACGTAGGCATACGTTGAAAGGGAAGGCACGCCAGCGCTAAAAGATAGGCTAAGCACTACATATGTTGCGCACCTTTGGTTTTGGGGGCTTGATCCGCTTGAGGTGCCACACACTCTCCTGCGCTCTCCGGAAACCCTCATCCTCGATCTTGGAGGCCTGCGCGTAGTGCAGTTCCTTGGATTCGAAATGAAAGGACGTGCGCCAGGAGTATGCGATTCGTCCATACCACCACCCAACTCCGACTGCGAGTCATAGTTGCCTGCCTCGACGCTGCCCCCCACTCCAAGAGCTGCACCTGACGCCGTCTTTCGGCGCTTCTGTAGGCCGTCATGATGCTTGCAAAATCCTGCCGTCCTACCTCCAACCTTGTTGCCGCACATTTCGCCACGTCGTGCGCTGCGGCGAATGAAAGCGACACATACAGCCGGGTTCGCCGGAGAAGAATCCGGTGGGGATGGTTGCTGGTGCTGGTGCTGCTGGTGTTGCGGCTGTTGCGCCTCACGCGAGGTCGTAGGGAGCCGGTCCGTGACCGGTAGCTCCGGGGTCCCCTGTTGTTGCCGCTGTTGCCCGCCTACATCGCGGGTGTTGTGACCAGCGTCATGCGAGTTCGGTACACTTCCTAGACCCAAGCGCTCCCGCGGAGATGGTTGTTGCTGCTGCTGCTGCTGCTGTTGCCGCTGCCGCTGTTGCGGCCCGAGCAAAGTCGTCCGGAGCGACGGCGTGACCGGTGATGCCGGCGCCTGTTGTTGTTGCCGTAGCTGCCGAGCTGCTCCCCGGGTATTGTGACCAGCTTTGTGCGAGTTCGCAGCATATATCGGTTTGTACGATGCGCCCATATCAAACTCATAGTCATCCTCATCATCAGTCGGAATGCTTGGGTCGATTGCATATCCGCTGGCCTCCATGCCAAGCTCGCTGTCCTCAGTGGCCGCGTTCACAGCAAGTGTGGGTGGCTGCCGGAGAGAGACGGCCAAAGCCGATGTACGAGCAGGAATGGCAACTGGCGCTGCCAGCAGCGCTACCGCAAGCGCTACCAACAACGCCACCCAGATAGGCAGGGCAGACCACGCGGGGCGTGGAGGCCTCCTCATGACCTATCGGCGCACCTCTGGTGGATGCTTCATGTGTTTGCAGCTATGTGTTGGTGGGGCGGGCGCGCTCTATCCTGGTGTGCTCTACAACTCCATTGCATGTGGTTCGGGGTTTCTGTCGTATCCTCCTCCATACGACTAGACCATCTGTTCGGCGCTATTAGGAAAAAAAATATGGAAAAAATGACCAATCAATGATCTGTCAGAAGGCCTGTAGACCCAAAAGGGTTAATTTGACTACCCACAACAGAATTGATCGTGATGGGTATGCCACGACCGCGGTGAAGAACGTTTCTCCAATTCGCTGTTACTTGCACAAGTATCGACCTTTTGCTTCCTTTTCCGTTTCCGTACTCAACGCCTGCTTCTCATTTTGGAAAACTATAGCAGGGTGCTTCCAGGGCTGTCCTCGTTAGCGGTTCATGTCGGAATCATTTCCCGCATTACCCAGAAACCACGGTACAACACAGTATTTTGTGGGCGGTAACTGGCCACCACGGCATGTTCCATGCGGTAACTGGCCGCCACGGCACAGTAGAGTAATGTTTGGGCGGTAACTGGCCACCCGGTAAATTCCGTACGGTAACTCGTCACCACGGTAATTTTTGTACGGCAACCGGCCACCACGGTAATGCACAGAATGTGCATTTTTCTACGGTGACTGGTCACCGCGGTGTAAGCTGTGCAGTTAACCATACGTCGGGCTCTGTTCCGTTTGCTTGCTTTCAGTTTTTCCCCAAGGGTGTGGTCACCGCACACCAAACGTGCGCGGCACATGCACCGAGCATCACGTCCGTCAACCAAACCGGTCGCATAAAAAGGAGAGTGAAAAGCAGACAGCATGTATCCACTTCATTGCACAGGCAGGCTCTCGTGGCCTCAAGACGACGTAAGTCCATCGCTGCGCCAAGTCATATGCCATCAACAGGACACCCGACAAGCAAGCGTTGCCTTCCTCATCCACAGAGAAGCGGGATTTTTTTTCATCGATTCAACAAAAAATATCACCACGAAAAACACAACCTGTGTGTTCATCTATCACCACAAAAAAGGAGCATTCTGTGAACGGCCGAAGTAAAAAAGACGTGGCTTGCATATGATATATGTACACTTTTCATGCCTCGGCGTTTCATTCTCTCGCGGCAGCGAGTTTTTACTCGCGGATGCTTCTCAGTGGCACGCGGGAGGCTCGTTCGTGCAATCACGCGCGTGCCCGAAGCTCGTTAGGCCTCCGTAGCGCGTGTTGTTGATGGCGAATGTTGCGAACACTGACTCAAAACCCCGGGGACGCGTTTCGCGCTCCCAAAGCCTGGCGAACCAATTCTGAACCCTATTAAACCCATCAATGACGACGGTTTGAAAATATTTGCCTCTCGCTTCTCCACTTTCATTCGTTCATTTATCCATCCATTCGATGATTCATGGCTATGACTCTTCGTGTCATCGCATTGTCCAACAGTATTACCTAAGTTTACTACACCTCGCAGCTTGCCTAGTGTAGTTATGTCTGAGAGCATGAATCCAGCCGCAGGGTTAAACATGTCCCATTTGTGGTGTTGCTTCGGCATCACATTCGGTTATCATTGGAAATCTGCCATCATCAATCAAAGACATAATGAAAGTCTGAGTTTTCGCTGCCAAAGTATTGTCCGCTCGAGCTGGCTCCAATGTAGAATAACAACGTGCGAGATGTTTCCGGAAGAAATAAAAGCGTTGTAAGACACACAGTCCCTCTCCGGGCCATGCGCATGTGATCTTGCGTCACCTTAGGGAGGGTAGACACCCACGTCCCGAAGGGAGATCTTGTATAATTAAAAAATGATGAAAAAATGGGAAGACAGGAAAGTCGGACAAAAGGGGTAAAGCGGGCCTCGAACATATTACCTCGCGCAGGCTATCGGAAATCGAGCGCGTCCAGAGGTCTAGAAGGGCACAGAGCATTTTACTATGGTGCACAGTGAAGCAACTGGTGTTTCTATGCGGTAGATGGGATTATTTGTTCTTATGGTAACGTCCTCCGCAGTATCTCGAAAGCACAGGACTTCCGATTTGTCCGCGGTAATTTTTAGTGCGGTAATGGGGCACTTCAATTATTTCGCTAATGGTTTGGGCGTTAACGGCAAAACCAATTTTCCACGGGAACGATTTCGATGGGAACGGTAATTCTACATGTTTCACGGGATCACGGGAAATGGTTATTACCGTGGTTTCACTGCGGTAAAATTACCGCGGAGGAATTAATGAGGACAGCCCTGGGTTTTTCATGTTTTGGTCTCTGCATTGCGCGTGTGTATCTTCGTTGCCTGGCTGCGTTCCTGTTCTTTCCGTTTCCTCCGTGGAGCGCGTCAGGTGTTTCCCCTCTTACTCATTTCTGTAGGTATGACAGGAACGGAAATATGTTCCATTTTGAAATTTTCTTCTCCCTCCGCACGGCAATATAAGTCCGATTTGAGAATACAGCAATATATGGCCGTGGTCCGTAGTTTAGGTGGTTGGATGTTCCTTTTGAGGGATATGTTGTTGCGTGATGCTCTGACAGGATGAGCGCTTCCTTAGGAAAAAAAAACTTCGGGGTATTTTTGCATCATCCCCTCCACTGATAAAAATTAACTGGCCGCAAGCGGAAATCATCAGGAGGGATTCTTTTTTGTGTTGTTTCTCCCGCGCGTGCCTATAAACTGTGCAGGGTACAGGGAGTTCCGTGAGACGAAGATGACAGTCCCGCGCGCACACAAAGCACAGCCGTGCATACGTAACATTCTGCACAGCACATTCAAATGATCCAAAGTGGTCTCTGGGAGCACAGTAGTGTCATCAACGGGTGACGCAAGATGACGATAAAGTCAAGGAGCAGGGCCAGCGCACAGCTGCCTGCTAGCTGCGGTGTGACGTTTCCCAAGCTCGACAGAGCTCACACCCCGATGAGAGAAAAACTTACACATGTATGCACAGCAGTAGCGTATGCTGTCATTCTACTAGCAAGCAAGTGCGCAGAAGGAGCCGTCTGCAGTATGATAACAAGGAAGCGAACCAGCCAAACAGCTAGACTTCAGACGCGACCACACAAGAACACTGCTGCTAGTAGGTATACATGTGCAGACATACGTATGTGTCGGAAGAGGACCTCTCCAAAGGGTCGATGCCACTACAGGGGGCGGCAACCGCACGCACCTGGAGGGCCTTCCTACCTCCAAAGCCCTGTCGATGTGAAAATCGGAAATACCTTGACCAGGTCGATAACACTACAGGGTGTGGAAACTGGACCCTACAGATCTTTCGACCCCCAAAGCCTGTGGAGGCCCGTCTCGGAGGGACCTCACCAAGGTTTTTACCCCCGAAGCCTGCAGAGGAATCTCTCGCAGGACCTCACCAAGGTCATTGACCCCAAAGCCTGTGGAGGACCTCACCAAGGTTTTTACCTCCAAAGCCTGTGGAGGCCCGTCTCGGATGGACCTCACCAAGGTTTTCACCCCCAAAGCCTGTGGAGGTGTCTCTCGAGAGGACTTCACCGAGGTTATTGACCCCAAAGCCTGTGGAGGCCCGTCTCGGAGGGACCTTGCCAAGGTTTTCACTCCCAAAGCCTGTGGAGGTGTCTCTCGATAGGACTTCACCGAGGTTATTGACCCCAAAGCCTGTGGAGGCCCGTCTCGGAGGGACCTTGCCAAGGTTTTCACTCCCAAAGCCTGTGGAGGTGTCTCTCGATAGGACTTCACCGAGGTTATTGACCCCAAAGCCTGTGGAGGCCCGTCTCGGAGGGACCTTGCCAAGGTTTTCACCCCCGAAGCCTGTGGAGGTGTCTCTCGAATGGACCTCTCAAAGGTTATTGATCCCAAAGCCTGTGGAGGACCTCACCAAGGTTTATACCTCCAAAGCCTGTGGAGGCCCGTCTCGGAGGGACCTCACCAAGGTTTTCACTCCCAAAGCCTGTGGAGGTGTCTCTCGAGAGGACCTCACCAAGGTTTTTGACCCCAAAGCCTGTGGAGGTCCGTCTCGGAGGGACCTTACCAAGGTTTTCACTCCCAAAGCCTGTGGAGGCCCGTCTCGGAGGGACCTTGCCAAGGTTTTCACCCCCGAAGCCTGTGGAGGTGTCTCTCGAATGGACCTCTCAAAGGTTATTGATCCCAAAGCCTGTGGAGGACCTCACCAAGGTTTATACCTCCAAAGCCTGTGGAGGCCCGTCTCGGAGGGACCTCACCAAGGTTTTCACTCCCAAAGCCTGTGGAGGTGTCTCTCGAGAGGACCTCACCAAGGTTTTTGACCCCAAAGCCTGTGGAGGTCCGTCTCGGAGGGACCTTACCAAGGTTTTCACTCCCAAAGCCTGTGGAGGTGTCTGTCAAGAAGACCTCACAAAGTGTTTCAGTCCCAAAGCCTGTGGAGGTGTCTCTCGGGAGGATCTCACCAAGGTATTTTACCCCCAAAGCCTGTGGAGGCCCGTCTCGGAGGGACCTTACCAAGGTTTTCACTCCCAAAGCCTGTGGAGGTGTCTCACGAGAGGACCTCACCAAGGTTTTTGACCCGCAAAGCCTGTGGAGGCCCGTCTCGGAGGGACCTTACCAAGGTTTTCACTCCCAAAGCCTGTGGAGGTGTCTCACGAGAGGACCTCACCAAGGTTTTTGACCCGCAAAGCCTGTGGAGGCCCGTCTCGGAGGGACCTTACCAAGGTTTTCACTCCCAAAGCCTGTGGAGGTGTCTCACGAGAGGACCTCACCAAGGTTTTTGACCCGCAAAGCCTGTGGAGGCCCGTCTCGGAGGGACCTTACCAAGGTTTTCACTCCCAAAGCCTGTGGAGGTGTCTGTCAAGAAGACCTCACAAAGTGTTTCAGTCCCAAAGCCTGTGGAGGTGTCTCTCGGGAGGATCTCACCAAGGTATTTTACCCCCAAAGCCTGTGGAGGCCCGTCTCGGAGGGACCTTACCAAGGTTTTCACGCCCAAAGCCTAGGGAGGTGTCTCTCAAGAAGACCTCACCAAGGTTTTCACTCCCAAAGCCTGTGGAGGTGTCTCACGAGAGGACCNAGAAGACCTCACCAAAGTTTTCACTCCCAAAGCCTGTGGAGGTGTCTCTCGAGAGGACCTGACCAAGGTTTTTGACCCCCAAAGCTTGTGGAGGCCCGTCTCGGAGGGACCTTACCAAGGTTTTTACGCCCAAAGCCTAGGGAGGTGTCTCTCGAGAAGACCTCACCAAGGTTTTCACTCCCAAAGCCTGTGGAGGTGTCTCACGAGAGGACCTCACCAAGGTTTTCACTCCCAAAGCCTGTGGAGGTGTCTGTCAAGAAGACCTCACAAAGTGTTTCAGTCCCAAAGCCTGTGGAGGTGTCTCTCGGGAGGATCTCACCAAGGTATTTTACCCCCAAAGCCTGTGGAGGCCCGTCTCGGAGGGACCTTACCAAGGTTTTCACGCCCAAAGCCTAGGGAGGTGTCTCTCAAGAAGACCTCACCAAGGTTTTCACTCCCAAAGCCTGTGGAGGTGTCTCACGAGAGGACCTCACCAAGGTTTTTGACCCCCAAAGCCT